ATTAAAAAAGTGAATATAAAAGAGAAGATATGTACATTTAGGTTTTAGAGAATACACTACACCTTGAAGATTGAGAAGAAAAGCCCCAATTTGAGATCACATTGACTTATTGAGTCAAATTTAACAAATTTAACAATCACATTCAATATGATTTTATGAAAAATTCTAAAATAAAGAGCACAGAAAAAAAGATTATGAGGACTGGCTGAGAGAGAGTAGAACTCCTTTGGGGGGGTTAGTCACCTAGAACTTTTTAAGTAGAACTGAGATAATTGGTAAAGTGGGATAATATTTTGACACTGGGATAATTTAGTGGAATAATGATGGGTAATTCTTAAAGTGGGATAATTTGGTAGGATAATTTGGTGGGATAATGATGGATAATATTATGAAGTTGCATAATTTGGTAGGATAATTTGGTGGGGGTAATGGTGGGTATAAATTACTATTGTTAATAATTATATATTAAAAATAATATAATATTAATAAGCAAATTCTAGTAATAACTATAAAATATAATGCAATAAAGCATCACTATTCATCTTAAATAATAAAATAATTTATAAATAAATAAAAATCTAAATCCCTAGAGTGACTCGACTTCCATCATCCCACATGACTTCTATCATCCCACATGACATCTGCCATAGAATTTCTCCAAGCTCCTACAGCTGCTCGTTGAGTCTGTATCTCGTCTTCTTTATCGGAGTCATTGTCTGAATCAGCAACATTTCATGGAGCTTCTAGTGGAGGATCATAAATGTCGAAGTTCAAATCTCATAACATCATAAAGAAAAAAAAAGCATTTTTCAGCCATTAACCCTTTGGACCAATCTCATCATGATTACTAAAACCAAATCAGCAAATAAATGAAATGTACACAGGAATCGTCCATGACCGCTAAACAGATGATCGAAAATGAACTATAAATATCCCAATCAATTTACTGAGCCGATTTAATAATAATAGATATCACCATTAACCATTCAACATCTAATCATCAATGTGATCGCAAAGTTGCTTTCTAACTTATAAATTTTGACACTGGGATAATTTAGTGGAATAATGATGGGTAATTCTTAAAGTGGGATAATTTGGTAGGATAATTTGGTGGGATAATGATGGATAATATTATGAAGTTGCATAATTTGGTAGGATAATTTGGTGGGGGTAATGGTGGGTATAAATTACTATTGTTAATAATTGTATATTAAAAATAATATAATATTGATAAGCAAATTCTAGTAATAACTATAAAATATAATGCAATAAAGCATCACTATTCATCTCAAATAATAAAATAATTTACAAATAAATAAAAATTTAAATCCCTAGAGTGACTCGACTTCCATCATCCCACATGGCTTCTATCATCCCACATGGCATCTGCCATAGAATTTCTCCAAGCTCCTACAGCTGCTCGTTGAGTCTGTAACTCGTCTTCTTTATCGGAGTCATCGTCTGCATCAGCAACATTTCGTGGAGCTTCTAGTGGAGGATCATAAATGTCGAAGTTCAAATCTCATAACATCATAAAGAAAGAAAAATAAGCATTTTTCAGCCATTAACCCTTTGGACCAATCTCATCATGATCGCTGAAACCATATCAGCAAATAAATGAAATGTACACAGGAATCATCCATGGCCGCTAAACAGATGATCGACAGATGAACTATAAATATCCCAATCAATTTACTGAGCCGATTTAATAATAATAGATATCACCATTAACCATTCAATATCTAATCATCAATGTGATCGCAAAATTGCTTTCTAACTTATAAAAAAACATAAATAGCCTGCATATCTTTAGCACTAACCCACCAACACTATATTCTTAACCTAAACCACTGTTGTGGAGAGAAAACTTAGATCAAACAAATAATAATAAAGTAATTTAAACGTCAAAAAGCTATCAATAAAGTAATACATCTTGAAGCAGAGAAACTAACCAAGAGGGAGGGAGGTGGGGTTTCACTTTTTTTCCCCCAATTGTATTCTTTCCAATGTGTGGGATAATTTGAGAGGGGAGAACTTAACTTTTTTTTCCCAATTGTATTCTTTCCAATGTGTGGGATAATTTGAGAGGGGAGAACTTATGGTTATATATATATATAGTATAATTTGTGGGATAATTATGACCAATTATCCCAATTCTAATTCTAGTAGAATTCTACTTGACTAACGCACCAAAAAAATAATACAGTTCTAGTTCTGCAAAAGTTCTACTTGACTAACACTATAAAAAATATTCCATTTCCTAGTTCCATGTGACTAACACCTTAAAAATTTATCCCACAAATTATCCCAGTTCCAGTTTTAAGTTCTAGATGACTAACCCCCCCTTAGTTAGTTGAGATGTACATGCACATGGTTGAATAATATAATTATTTAAATTAATAAAAATAAAAAATAAAATAAAATTTTTTGTAGGATTGATCATCAACTTAACAATCTCTCTCTTAAATAAAATATTATCATTGTTTTCTTTAATCTAGAATGTAGCTACGTGATATATTATTTGTGAGTTATAAACGTATTAATCTAGTATAACATCTCCGTTTATTAGTATTTTAAAGTCTTTAAAAGATGGGTGATCATTCAATTCGTAAATAAATTTTGCATATAAATTTACTTGCAATATGTTCATTAAACTTTTAGTTGTGGTTTGACTCATATTCACATTAACTTTTAGTTGTGGTTTCACTCATATTTACATTATCTAATATTCTTATTTAATTTTATAGCTCATTCTTCGTATCGTAGAAGTAAAACTAAAAATATGAAGAACTATTTTCTTGCGAAATTAGAGCAGGAAGATTATGATATATTTCTCCATGTGCTCTAAATATAAAAAAACTTTGATGCAATGTCCCTCCCTATTAAATC